ATAGCAAATGCCTTTAATAATTTCGTTAAAGTCATTCTTTGTAAAAATTAAATGTTTGATAAATTTTCTGCTTTTATATAGCGACAACCATGTAGTTCGCATAGACAAACAACAGTAGCAATAAATAAACTGTAAAACAAGTATTATGAGAATGATTGAATGATTAATGACTCGTTTTTAGCCAGGTTTTTCTCGATGACCTCTAATAAAGCCAACATTACGACATATTTAAAGAGAAAGGGAAACTCTATAGATTCGATTTCATTATGATGACAGAACAGCAGCATGGTTCAACATGGTCATATATAATGCCAAACATAGCGCATATTCAAATAATTTAATGAAAAATATACATGTATCTTAGTTTAAATAAATTATGTACCTAAATTTACTGAAATTATCTTTTTACTTTGATACTGAACGTCTAATACATTTAAAACAAGTATCGGAGAGTATAAAATAAAAAAAATAAAAATCATTTTATGCCACCTCGTGAATTCTTCAGAAATGTAGAAAAATTACAGTTTTGAATGAGCTATTTTTCGAAAACCTACTATAAAGCCAGCATTACAACATATTGGGAGAAAAAAAGAAATCTTGTAGATTCATCGAGTTCACCATGGCAGAATAGTAGTAGCACGTTTTAACTGGCCATATATAATACTAAAAACATAGTGTATATTCCAATAATTTTATGAAAAATATATATTTATCATAAGTAAAAGTGGTTTTGTATTTCGAATAAATTTAATAAATAATTGAACAATTACCTTTTTCACCGTATCATACACCGATACGGAACGTCTAATACACTTGGAATAAGTTGGGAATGGCATAAAATAACTATAAACCATATACGGCCTTTCGTGGATTTTATTTTTTATTTTGAATAATAACAGTTTTGGTTGGTCGATTTTTTGAAAACTACAATGAAGCAAACATTACGAAATATTAGAAAAAAAGAGAACCCTTCTAGATTCCATTTCATCGTAGCAGAACAGTAGCAGCACGGTTTGATATGGCTGTATATAATCCCAAACACAGCGTATAATCTTCGAATATTTAACAATTCGAAAAATATTCCAATGGGGTTTTGTGGTTCAACTCAAATTTACTAAACACTCGAGTAAATATTTTCTAAAACTATTGTCTAAATTCCGTGTTCTACGTCTAACAAGTTGTTGTAATTTGCGTAAATTACAATGTAATAGTAGAACAATTTATGACTTCTCGCGGATTCTTTCAAAAAACTTTGAGAGTAAAAATAGTTCTTCTTCAAACAGCGATTTCTTAAAAATTTCAAATAAAGGCAACATTAGGGCACATTGGGAGAAGAGGAGAACCCTTCTATATTTAATTTCTTCATATCAGAACAGTATCAGCACGGTTTCAAAGTTGAAATAAGATGCGGATAGCTAACTTTGAAACAACAAAAAAAATTTCACGCCCTCCCGTAGACTCTTCAAAATTTTCAATATATCGTTTTTGGAATGGCTATATCTCGAAAACGTCTTATAAGGGCAGTATTATGACACATCGGAAGAAAAGAAAAACCCTCATAGATTCCATTTCATCACAGTAGAACAGTAGCAGCACGTAACATCAAACACAGCGCATATCCTTCGATATTTCAACAATTCAGACGTAAAATATTTTGAATTGGTTTTGTGTTTTTATCTAAATCGATCAAAGTCAACGTCATCTCGGGGGAAAATAAACTTTTCAAAGAAGCGATTCTCGAAAGCATCCCCTTTAAAATATGTTACATTTATACTCTATGTTTGGAAATACATACGGCCATGTAAAACCGTGCTGCTACTGTTTTGCCGCAATAAAATCGATTCTATTACGTCTCCCTTTTTTCCCAGTGTGTCGTATTGCTGCCTTTATAGGAGGTTTTCCAGAAATCGTCCAACCGAAATTGTAATTTTTCAGAATTAAAAAAAAATCCACGAGAGGACATATAATGTTTATCAATATTTTTTCTAATACCTGTAACTTATTCCAAGTGTAAAAGCGTTCAGTATCAGTGTATGGGAAAGTAAAAAAAGAAAGAATAGAATAGATATCGGAAAGGACGTTAAATTTTTTTTTCCCTATTTTATACTCTCCGATACTTATTTTAAATGTATTATACGTCCAATATCGCTATATTGAAAAGTAAAAAAATAATTGTTCAATTATTTGGCAAGTTTAGTTGAACTACAAAACCTTTTTTTTTAACTATGATACATATATACTTTCCATAAAATTATCGGAATATACGCCATGTTGTATACGCTAAACTAAAGTAAGCCACTTTTTCAAGTTGCATCATCCTTTGTCTCGTCGGTACTTTTGCTCTCGTCTTCACCCGAGCTGGTTTCGTTGAACTCATTTTCACAACTTTTCTTTCGTTTTTCTTCAACCAATCCTTGGAGTGCTCGGATGTATTCTATTGCTGATCGTAATGTTTCTACCTACACGTAATTGAGATCACCCGTTATTAAACAATACAATATGCCACGTTTAGTTAACCCATCGGTCTCATATGATGACAGAACAGCAGCATGGTTCAACATGGTCATATATAATGCCAAACATAGCGCATATTCAAATAATTTAATGAAAAATATACATGTATCTTAGTTTAAATAAATTATGTACCTAAATTTACTGAAATTATCTTTTTACTTTGATACTGAACGTCTAATACATTTAAAACAAGTATCGGAGAGTATAAAATAAAAAAAATAAAAAACATTTTACGCCACCTCGTGAATTCTTTAGAAATGTAGAAAAATTACAGTTTTGAATGAGCTATTTTTCGAAAACCTACTATAAGCCAGCATTACAACATATTGGAGAAAAAAAGAAATCTGTAGATTCATCGAGTTCACCATGGCAGAATAGTCAGTAGCACGTTTAATGGCCATATATAATACTAAAACATAGTGTATATTCCAATAATTTTATGAAAAATATATATTTATCATAAGTAAAAGTGGTTTTGTATTTCGAATAAATTTAATAAATAATTGAACAATTACCTTTTTCACCGTATCATACACCGATACGGAACGTCTAATACACTTGGAATAAGTTGGGAATGGTATAAAATAACTATAAACCATATACGGCCTTTCGTGGATTTTATTTTTTATTTTGAATAATAACAGTTTTGGTTGGTCGATTTTTTGAAAACTACAATGAAGCAAACATTACGAAATATTAGAAAAAAAAAAGAACCCTTCTAGATTCCATTTCATCGTAGCAGAACAGTAGCAGCACGGTTTGATATGGCTGTATATAATCCCAAACACAGCGTATAATCTTCGAATATTTAACAATTCGAAAAATATTCCAATGGGGTTTTGTGGTTCAACTCAAATTTACTAAACACTCGAGTAAATATTTTCTAAAACTATTGTCTAAATTCCGTGTTCTACGTCTAACAAGTTGTTGTAATTTGCGTAAATTACAATGTAATAGTAGAACAATTTTCGCCTTCTTGCGGATTCTTTCAAAATTTTCGATAGTAAAAATAGGTCTTCTTCAAACAGCGATTTCTTAGAAATTTCGAATGAAGGCAACATTAGGACACATTGGGAGAAGAGGAGAACCCTTCTATATTCCATTTTTTCATAGCAGAGCAGTAGCAGCACGGTTTCAAAGTTGAAATAAGATGCGGATAGCTTACTTTGAAACAACAACAAAAATTTCACGCCTTCCCGTAGACTCTTTTCAAAATTTTCAATATATCGTTTTTGGAATGGCTATATCTCGAAAACGTCTTATAAGGGCAGTATTATGACCCATTGGAAGAAAAGAAAAACCCTCATAGATTCCATTTCATCACAGTAGAACAGTAGCAGCACGTAATATCAAACACAGCGCATATTCTTCGATATTTCAACAATTCAGACATAAAATATTTTGAATTGGTTTTGTGTTTTTATCTAAATCGATCAATGGCAACGTCATATCGAGGAAAATAAACTTTTCCAGAAGCGATTCTCGAAAGCATCCCCTTTAAAATATGTTACATTTATACTCTATGTTTGAAAATACATACGGCCATGTAAAACCGTGCTGCTACTGTTTTGCCATGAAGAAATGGAATATAGAAAGGTTCTCCTCTTCTCCCAATGTGTCCTAATGTTGCCTTTATTTGAAATTTCTAAGAAATCGCTGTTTGGAGAAGACCTATTTTTACTATCGAAAATTTTTGGAAGAATCCGCAAGAAGGCGAAAATTGTTCTACTATTACATTGTAATTTACGCAAATTACAACCACTTGTTAGACGTAGAATTTTCGCCACCCCTAACTTGACTCGACGACCCTGTTTCGTCACTCCCATTTTGACACACAACGACCGCATTTCGTCACCCCTATACTTGCTTTAAATGTATTAGACGTCCAATATCGCTGTATTGAAAAGTAAAAAGATAATTGTGGTAAATTAAGTTTAAATACAAAACCACGTTTGACTACGATACATATATATTTTTCATAAAATTACCGGAATAAACGCTATGTTTGGTATTATATATGTCCAGTTCAAAACGTGATGCTACTATTCTGACATGCGGAAATCAAATCTTTAAGGTTTCTTGCAGCAACCGTATTTTGTCACCCCCTATCTGACACGCACCGACCGTATTTCGACACCCTTAATCTCACACACCGACCGTATTTCGTCACCCCTAACTTGATTCGACGACCATATTTCGTCACCCCAATTTGACGCGCAACGACCGCATTTCGTCAGCCCTATTTTGACACCCCCAATATGACTTTTGTGCTACCACTCCTGTAGTCACCAAACGGAGACGCACTTTTATAGCATATTCAAAATGATTGTCATACTATGCCACCGCACTCGTTAAAAAAGTGCGGTCTTCTGCTAACATCTGTGGAGACGGTTTGGCAACTTAAAATAATTGCCCATACCTGACCCATTTTTTTATCCCACTTCCAAAATTAGGGAATCTGCAATATATTGAATTCGTGATTTATAGAAGCGTTGCACGTAGAAACAAGAATATACAGAAACATCGAGTTAAGAATATTATAACAGAATAAAACAATACGTCGCAAGGCAGAATAGTATGGTTCATAAAGCATTAACAATAAGAGGAAAAATATTTGAAATGAAAGTAAATGTAACTGAAGAAATTTGAAGAATGTACACAGTACAAACAAGATGCGCAGCAGGTACAGGTAAACCTTTTGTTTTCACTCAACCAAAGTAACCTAAACTAAAGTAAGTCACATTTTCAAGTTGCATCATCCTTTGTCTCGTCGGTACTTTTGCTCTCGTCTTCACCCGAGCTGGTTTCGTTGAACTCATTTTCACAACTTTTCTTTCGTTTTTCTTCAACCAATCCTTGGAGTGCTCGGATGTATTCTATTGCTGATCGTAATGTTTCTACCTACACGTAATTGAGATCACCCGTTATTAAACAATATAATTAAATGCCACGTTTAGTTATCCCATCGGTCTCATCAAATCCTATGACCGAGCCCATTACTATATATGCCCTGCACAGTGACGTATTGGGCGCTCCAAAAGTGTGTGTACCAATATGGAGTTAACTATTTTTTTTTCGCCTACTTTACATCAAGTTGTGTAGAGGGACTGAATCATATGGGTATATTTACTTGGCTAACACAGACAGTACCCGAACTGGTAATAGAAATAAAATAAGGGAAAACGGAATAAAATTATGGCCTAACCCGAAACTGTTACCGTAAATACACTACGGAAGTATCACGTATTTCTTTTGTACTAAGCGTAGATCTTTCATAAAATTTGTTAGACGGAGGTTCAAATTTTACCTTGAAAGGGGTTTCAAGAATTTATGGTCTTTTTTTATTGTAGGTACATTGCGAAGAAATACTCGTAATTCTTAAAATAGTAGGTCTAAAATAATGGCTCTAGGTGTTTTGATTTTCTATTTTTCAGAGGAAACTCACAAGTCACTCACCTTGCTTATCTTATTTCCTTTACTTCCCCGTGGAACTCTCTTTCTTAAATCATCAAAAGCTTGATTAACATTTTTTATTCGTTTTCGTTCACGAGCATTTCTACGAGCAACACTTCTGGGATGCTTCTGAATGTCTGGGATGGAAGTTGATTGGTCGCAAATTTTCTCTTCAGAAACTCCAAAATTCGACGTCGTACTGCAAATGGAGACGAGAGAATTTATGACGTCACTTTCCGGAGACGATATGGCGTCATTGGCTCCTGATGATTTGTAATGTTGATTGCAAGCTGTCACCCCGTTGCACATATCATAGTCAATGTGGTGCAAACGAAACATATTGTTTTGTGAAGACATTTCTCTCAAGTACCCGTGGTTGTCATGATTCTCTTTAATGAGTGTAACTTGATCTGCGGAGTTACATGATTGCTTGTAAGAATCATCAAAATATTTCCACGCGCATTCACGCATCATTGAATAATTGATTCTTGCTAATCCATGATAGCGTTCAAAGTCTGTAACTGATTCAGAATATCTTGCTGAAGTATCCATAAAAGATGAAGGCTCGGAAAAGTACGGCGGCGATGAAAATCCAGAGCAGGTACTGCTGTCTGCTGCGGCAATCACAGGTTCTTGGTCTCGAGCAATACGCATGGGAGAGGAATACCATTGGGAATCGTTGAAACGGCCATTTTGATTATAATATTGTGTTGTTGATGCTGGTGACATCGTAAACCCAAATAAAAATCTGCAAACTAGAATGAAACAATTGTATAAATACATTCATATATGACATGAACAACAATTCGTAAATTAAGTACAACTGATAAAACAAGGTTATATGAAATTATATCGGTAGTATTACTAAACATCACGCTGTCCACAAAATCATTTTCTTATGTTGAATTAAGCGATCTAGACACTGTCGATAAAACTAACATGCGCTATGTGCTCTAATACATTTTAACATATGGAAATTAATCGCGAATTGAGAAGTATATATCGTCAAATAATTACTATCGCAAATATGCGAAATAATAGAATTTTCCCAGAAAGCGTAAAAGTTAATTGATTCATTTATATACATGGGTGTGTCGCGTGTCATTTTGTTTCCGAAATATAATATGCGTTAATTACGAGAAACCCGGTAATTAAATTGCAATCTTAGTCGGAAACGGAAGCACAGATGCAGAATTGGTGAATTAAAACCGTCACCACATTAACCCAATATAACATTATGCTTTGCTACATGCAACAAATTTTTTTTTATGCAGTTTTCGATATGCGCAAGGTATTAGGCATGTTATTGTAAAGATGAGCTTTTGAGCCAAATTCTTCAATCTGTTTTTTATGCTTAGAAGTTACTAACTGCCGAAAAAAATCACGTTACTTAGGTCATATAAAAAAAACTGTGAATTGTAAAAACTTTGTAAATTTAGGCAGGGTTAGCTATAATGAAAAATTGGTTTATTCGTCAAGGTTGTGAATTAAATCCCCATATTACTTATTTAGATCTGTTAAGCAGCAGCAAAAATTTCACAACAACCTTTATCATCAAAATTATTCCTCAAAATTAATGACTCATACTAATGACTTGATAAGATTTAGTTTATCATCGATAAATACGTCATGTAATAATTTTATAGAACATAGTAATCCCATCGAATATTACATCCCAATATTGTAAGCACTTTTTATGTTTTTTTTTGGTAAATATTTATATATACAGTAATCAAACATTTACAAAAGTTTTACAATTTTCAGTGCAGTTATAATCTTTAGATAAGTTGCTTCATTTTCTGACATAAATACATATTGACTGCGAATTAAATTTTATTTTTGGAATTGAAGAGTAACAAGATATTGCATTTAAAAATAAGATATAAACGATTATAACTTTAAATTTATAAATAAATATCATAACAATCTCAAATGAAAATTAGTAAACTCGATTCTAACTAGTAGCTTACCTTGGATGCGTTCCCCTATATATATATATATTTTCCTTTTCTCTCGATTTGAAAACCGAAAAGGCGTTTTTGTTAGTATAACTCAAAAACAGTCACACACACAGTTCTTTGGGATACTAGTAGAAATACATACAATTGGACATATTTCAAGTTTGAACTCAGTCCTTTTAAAAAAGTAATCCAATATTTGTCATTTGCAATAAAATACTTTCATGAACTGAACTACAAAATAATTTGTTTTTACCTTTTTCGAACTCAAGAAGATTTTTTTACTTTTCTACACTCAGATATCATTACACTCACAATTATGAGTTGATATATCAATGTCTAAATTTGCCTATGTCAAAAGACGAAGATTTGCATACGTTTTTTTTTCTGCCAGTTATTCCAACGATTTCTTATGACTAAGCTAAATCATTCAGTTGGGACTTACTCATTTTATCCTAAAATCCTACTGTTTATTTAATCTATGCCTAAATCGAAAATTAAATGACCAGATCTTATTGTAAAGTGAAATTTACCCAGGGTATTAATCATTTGTTATTTCAACAAAAATGCACCAATCAAATTGATCGCTCTAATGAACTTAAAAGAGAAATATCACACGCTTTACAGCTGCTTATTTGCGAACAGTAAATGAAAATGAATTGAATTTTCTGTTATTATGGCAAAAATATTCAAAAAGGTTGCGTTTATAGACACAGAAAATATATATACATAATATTTTCATGTTGTGGCCGCTCGTCGTATTCACTACAGAATAGTAAAAGTATCGGGTCTAGTCTGGTTCAGACGATCTGGTTTTCAATATTGCGATTCAACCAAGTCAGATCGGAGCAAAATTTAATGGTGTATGGGTAAATTCAAACATTTCCGAACAGAAAATAAATTTTCTAACATTATCGATGCCAAATATCAAGGATTTGTCCAATGCCAAGTCTATTTATACCCAAACAATCTCACTTTGTGAAAAGTTGAAAGACAGTAAAACTGCAGTGAAATTACGAATCGTTTCAAAGTCTTATAACACGATCGATGTCAATTTGTTCACAATGAAACCTGAATATAATTTGTAATGATTTCTCCTATGCCAATTCAATCATAATTTTAAACATCACCCCTGTTTAAATATATTTATCGATTCTTCAGATCCTTGAATAAAACAAATGAATAGACAGAAAAATGTATTAAAAAAGGATAAGCCGAATGATAGGTATTCATAATGTTTTAATCGTAAATATGAAGAGTAAGAATCGAAACTTTCAACGTTTGGTCCTAACATTGGATCACAAATTATTATTTATCCACGGGCATATAGCATATCCATAAAACCCTCAATGTGATGTTTAATCTTAACTACGGGTATTGGGAAGTGAAGTTCCTAATAGTTTCCCAATTCGTAAAATAATTAGTGCACAACGGGACCTTATACCATGTCATTTATCTCTCGTGATCTTTTCACAAGACTTCCGAATCAGCAATTACACCATGTCTCCCCCTGTAACAACTCACACATAAGATAAGTCGATAAATCTAAAACGTCACGCGACGTTTCCTGAATGGCTGAAGCAACCAAGTTTATATGATTTCTGTAATAGCAATTAGGCTCATTATTGTGCGATCACAAGATTGAATATGAGAATTAAGAGGATTTGTATTAATTATACATAATGTATTACAGTAAATAAAAAAAGGGCGACTGATAACTAAACTATATAAGCGCACAAAGTTGAATGGAAATCATCAGTTCTCAAACGATGAATTTGTTCAGCAATGTCTTCAGTCTTGGTCTTTGCTTTAGTCCATTATGAGTGAAGTCTTATACTGAATGTCTTGCATAAATCGGATGCCTCATTCAAGAGCATAAACAATTTATGCCAATTCAGGACAAAAGCTTTCAATGACCTTATATTTATTTTCACAGATACCAATATGTTGTCACAAAATCAAATCGCCTTTACTGTTCTGGTATTAGTATGTATAGCTGGGAAATGTCAGTCACAATTTCCTAGAGCTTGTGCCACAATGGAAGCTTATCTTTTGCACGAATGTTGTCCTGTAATGAGAGGAGGTGGAAGCCAATGTGGCGAAGCAGAAGGCAGAGGCATGTGTGCTGATATTGTTGTCGATGAACAACCCTGGGGAGGCCCGTACACTCTATTCGGAATAGATGACAGAGAGAGATGGCCAGAACGATTTTTCAACAGGTTCGTTAAATTACAGATTATTTTATATTATTCTAATATATTTGTTAAAGCGTTTTAAATCATATCACAGAAGTGAAAAACTGAATTAATTCATATGTTTTTGCTATATCCAAAAATAATAAACTTTAATTTAACTAAGTGCACTAAATTAAACTCTTTTCCGTTGTTAGATCTTGCCAATGCTTTGGAAACTTCGGTGGATATGATTGCGCAAAATGTAAACTCGGTTGGAGAGGACAAAATTGCAATGAAGAGCGACCATTGGCGGTAAGAAGAGATATTGCACAGATGCCACTAGATGACGCCGTGCGATTCCTAGAAGCTCTCGATCAGGCCAAAACAACTATTCATCCCGACTATGTCGTTGCAAGAGACCATTACAGGTTTGGCAAAATATATTAGTTATTCTCGCATTGACAATGTTGTAACCTAAAAATATAGAAATTTACTGTGATTTTAATGCCTTTTTGTAATAAAATTTATTTTAAACAGAAATCTGCTTGGAGAAAATGGAACATCAGATCCGAATTACATTGATATTACTATATATGATTTATTTGTGTGGGTTCATTACTACAGTGTACGTGATACTCTTCTCGGACCCGGACAAGCATTCACAGGTTCGAGGGAAAATTATTTGAATAAAACTCCCATCATGGTTCCCATGGTGATAACTAGACGGGAGAGGCTGTAGAACACGACTCCACATTCTAACATTGTAACCTTTTGTCTCCCCCGAAATAATTCGTTTCTTCTTCTTAATTGTCAACAAAACGAATTCAATTTGAGCCTCAATCAATGTCGAAATCAAGTATTAATATTGCTATTATTCACCAGGTATCGATTTCTCACACGAAGGACCGGCTTTTCTCACCTGGCATAGAATGCATTTGTTGAATCTTGAAGAAGATTTGAGAGAAATGACAGGTGACGAGGATATGGCGATCCCATACTGGAATTTTGCTATTGGAGGTTTGCTAAATCAAACGCTTGACTAAATATATCATTTAATGTAATCATTTGAAAATTTACTTACGATGTACAATTTAGGATCCGAATGCGATATCTGTACTGATGAATTAGTCGGCGATCGCCATCCTAACATACCTTCTCAATTGAGTCCTAACTCACGATTTGCGGACTGGGAAATCGTCTGCCTTAGTTTGGACTGGTTTGATGACAACATCAAGGTAAATAGAAACTTTAACTTTTAGTATCACGCATATTTACTATAAAGAATACGAATAAAAAAAATATATTTTCTTCAACAGCTGTGCAACGGAACATCTGAAGGTCCCATTATTCGCAATCCAGGTGGAAATACTGACCGTCCATTGGTTCAAAAACTGCCCGAGCCTGAAGATGTTGCAAAATGTTTAGGAGTCGAGAATTATGATACTTTCCCCTTCTTTTCCGACTCTGACAAAAGTTTCAGAAACACTTTAGAAGGTTAGTACTTTCTAGTCAGGACAAAAGTGTTATGAAAGGCCCAACCAGATTTAAACACAAAAACAAAAGATTGAATTGGCGCCCAGCACAAAGAGTAACATAATTAAGTATCAAACGTAAAAGCCGATATATTTCACAAAACTTATGACTCAATATTTTATTTAGCGCGAATTTGTGGTTTTCCAACTCGACTTTTACGGCTCTTATATATATATATATATATATATATGGTTTCCATTGCTCATTGTTGGTTGATTATTACCCTTATTCAAACTTATTTATACTTATATATTTTTACATAATTTTAGGTTACGCTGAAGTCGATGGCCAATTTGCCGAAGGTGCAAGAACTCTTCACAATCTTGCTCATTTGTTTTTGAATGGAACAGGAGGACAAACCCACGCTAGTGCCAATGATCCTATATTCGTTTTACTGCATGCTTTTACAGACGCTATTTTTGAAGAATGGTTAATCAGGTAAATTCAAGCTAAACATCAAGTGTTCACAATTTGACCCAATACTATTCTGCTGCACTCAAAGGTGTGTTGTGACAATAAATCAATTCGCGGCTCTTTAATCGGCAGCAATGGGTGCTTGCTCCTACTCTTTCAGTAATCTTTTTTATTTGGTTTACATAAAAATGACTCATATATTCAATAACAAAATCGAATTTAGAGAACAACCTTCGGCAACAGCTTATCCAACTCGAGATGCACCGATCGGTCACAACATTGACTATAATATGGTTCCATTTTTTCCACCAGTCACAAACCGAGACATGTTTGTGGAAGCAAGTAAACTTGGTTACAGATACGAGTTTAACATCCTTGGTGAGTTACAAAATTTTATTTATGCGACTTGAATACTTTTTCTCCGAACAAGGTTGGTAGTAGCTGATACGTAGAAAACTAGTATTTTAGTGAAAATCTTTTTCGTACGGCATTAAGTTAACTGCATCCAGAGTGAATTGTGGGCATGGAAATACCTCAAATTCCAAAATCTTTAACCATCAGGATCAACGCTCCATTTGTGTGAAATTTTGGTACTTTTTCAATTGAAATTTTTACTATCACCCCAACGGTACATATAATATAATACTTATATAGTTGAATAAGTTTGATTTGAATACAACTCCGAGGCAATTTGGCCGACGTAAAACATGGTGAAATCCACGAATCATCAAACCGCATTACCAATTCCCCTCTGCCTAACATTTTAAGGTTAAATAAAAAGCTTTTATTATTTATTTTAGCTGATTTGGAACAAAACTCTGGTCCTTCTTTTATTTGGGCGGTCATTGGCGTCATCGTCTTTGCTGCGTTTGTTACAATAGTTACCATAATGATCACTGGAATTCGTCGTCGAATGAAATTACAACAAGAGGAAGAATTATATCAGAGATTAATTGCTGAAGATTATGAAAGAGACGAACATTATGGACCATAGTGTGATTAATACAATCACTGGCCAAAAAACATCTAACGAATTTTTACCTTGATATATGTACAGTCCCAGTTATGATTTTCTCCTTTTTCTTATTTTAAATTATTATTTGTGCGTTGACATTGTGAATTTTGTACATTGCAATAAATCTTTTAATTCAAAACTTCATATTTATTTTTTGAGAGTAAAAGTCGAATGAGTTGACTTCAACTAAAACAGTTTTACTCGTTGATACCACTACTTATTTTGTGTGGAAAGAATTTTACACACAATCAACACTTTATCTAAGATTATGCTGTCTTTGAGATGAATTGGCACATTCTGTTTGCAAAAAACTCATTCACTCAAAATAACATAAATTATACTTAATTTGAATACGATTATGCATAATATAATACCAGTTGAAACTTTGCCACACATGCGTGTGAGTCCTATTTATAGGCTTGTCGCAGCCTAACAAATTTTGGGTAGTAAACTCTGGGGTCATTGGATTTTATTGATAAATTGAGCCCTGCGTTTAACCTATTTTAAATTTAAGTACTAATCTAAATATAGTAATCTAAATCTGAACTAATAATAATAACTCATCCATCTTGCTACATGTATGTTGATGAAAATAACTCAACAAAACTATATATCTTAGCATTTTTATTATGACGTTGCAATTGTTAATCATTGTTAATCGGTAAGTAACGTTACACATTATCATCAATATTGATTCGGAAATACAAAATATTCATAATATTTTGACACTTGGGGTTGCTTTTGAGCCGAGAAGTGTTGTACTGTTGTACTGTTGCAAATTATTTGTTTATTTTTTATTTTTTTCAAAATAAATCATGACATTCTCCACGGATCAATTCTAGTCGCATGCAGGGATACTCATTGTATGTTCGTGGGTAGATTCGGACGTAACGACAGGTCTTTGACTGAGGAAACATACCAATAACTTTTGAATTGTTGTCGGAATTGCCAGTGAAGATCTAAATTGAATTAATAAAATGGTTAGTATTGGACACGAAATGGCCTTGCTAAATTTTTGTTGTCCAAAACCTCTGTGTCAATATATATTTCCATGATGATTGATGGTATTCTGAGATTCAGGCATTCACATATAAATCAAATAGGCTGGCTATAAGTGTGTTTGAAAATACACAAAATCGGTTTTGTTGGGTTGAAGACCTCCCATATGAATTATTGAACAAGGGGTGGACCTATGGATCGTTTCGTTATTATGTCGTTGTTGTTGTTGTTTTTCTTTGTCGTAGAATTTTAACCTCATGAAAAAATCGCCTTTCTATCTGATTACTGTACCAATTGCTTTGAAATTTTCAATAGTAGAAGAATATACTTTTCGCCAGAAGGGTGTTACTTTTATTTATTTCAAATATTTCGTATCTTCATATTTGAGCGTAGCTTTCTTGTTTGAGCAAATGATCAACTAATATATTGGAATTTCATAGAGTTCTTCTTCATTTCTTTTATTTCCGAAGATAACCCTCTATTTCCACAACATGGAAAATAACAGTAAAATGTTGTAAGAAGATTTAGCAAAGAACTAAAACTAGAGAGAAGCGTATTTTTAACGTGATCCACGAGTCAACAAATGCGAAAAGATGTATCGCGTCAAAAATGTTATAGGTAACCAAATCCAAACCTTATCAACACCGTCTTCAGAAATGAACTCCATATTATCAGCTGTTGTACCACACGACACTTTATAAGTTTCAACCCAATGTTGATCGTTTTTAACAGTAACTGGTCTTCCCTGGGTTACAATTCCTCCAACTGACATCGAAGACCCAAGATCAATTTGAATCCACTCATTGGTAGGAACAGGATCTAAAACGGTAATTATCATTTTTGTGACACTACATAAATTTACTTGCTACCATAGATCATTCAGAATCAACTGTGAGACTATAAAAAAGACTAACTAAAAAAGACAACTAAAAATGCATGCCATCAAGTTTGTTAAACTCAGTCGACGACAGGTAGATTTAATTATTTAATATTGATTTAATCTTACACAGTGGTGAAGCCTTTAAAATCTGCATGTGAATACAAATCACAATTGTTGAGTAATGCAATCAAATTAACAAACAGAACGAAGACACATAGCGGATCTGTTATCACGCATTTTATTTATGAAGCGTTTCCACGGAAACAACTGACCACGCACCTTTTGGTTTCGGGCACCAAGCTCCAACACTTTTTCTCCAAGATTCAGAGTCTGTCAATTCTCGATCAAGTAAAGATCGTTCATCAATTGCATCCAATCTACCAAAATATGGGGAATGCATGATATCGTAGTCGGATGATGACGTGATTGCATTTGTCTGGATTTCGTAATTCTTCATTCCCATTGAACAGTAAAGCACTGAAGTGTATGATTGTTCATTAGAGACAAATCAAAATTCATATTTGACGTACAATGTGAGCAGAATATTTATATTGAAAATTATTCAAGCCAAGATTACACTATAGGTAAAACCAGAAGTGCAATCTAATTGAAAGGCTACCCTTCCGGGAAAAATCAGGTAGGAGAGTTCATCAGGAACAAGTTCAATACAAAATGTGTCTATATTTATGAAGCAACAATCGAATTTTGTATAAAGACGGAATATAGCTGTACTTACACTTTGGAATAAGGTCGAATCTTTTGTCTAGTTTCTCTGAAAATATAAAAAATGACATTTAATTTATTGCTACTGAAGGAAAATTAATATATATATATAAATTGTATAAGGGTGATAAAATCCTATTTCATGATATTAGAAAACAACAATACCACCAGAATGTTGATATTATATCCATGTACACTTTTGGAACATTTGCGTCCCTAATAAGAATCGCAGAAATAGTGGTATCATTCTTCTTACTTGGTGAAGCGTTTGATGATTTCTCTTCAGATAAACCAACGCTAACTAAATATACTTGGTATGCCGTGTAACTTATTTTGAAACCCGCCTGTACATTCTATCAATCTTTATATCATATTGTTGCGAAATTGCATGAAATGAACGGTTTTCGTTTCCATAACACACGAATTAATTTACAGTAATTAATTACTTTTTCAATATTTTTGCTTACCAGGATAATCGTCGAAAAAAATCAATGTGAAATATTCGTTTAATATCGTTGTCGGTTATCATGGAATATCACCAAAAATGCCAAAAGAAAAGCATATCGCAAGAACAGTATCACAAATCTTTCATAATAACTCTTGAAGTTATCAAAAAACGTATACAACTAACATTACCTTCAAGCATTCTGACTTTTTCTTCTAACGCAGAAACTTGTCTTGAATCAGCAGGTTCTCCCTTTGGTCCCTGTATACCCGGGTCGCCTTTTTGTCCAACCATTCCATCTTTTCCATTGTCTCCTCGAGATCCCTTCCGACCCGTTCTTCCTCTGCAAGCCGCTGGATTGCATACACCAAGTTTCGGAACTTTGGGGTATTTCGCAGTGCTGTCTGCTAAAACTGCAGAACAAAACTCGTAAACGTTAACGTTAGTCACTTCAGCAAAAGCAGAATTGACCAGCAGAAGACTACACAAGATATAAAATGCAGGCCCCATCTCAACAGTGCCGCCCTTATTCGACCATGTGCAACGGGAAAATAAACGACTCTCGCAATAAATCTACGTTTTTATACAAAAACAAGTTGCTCATCATTTTGATTGTGATCTACAAAGCCAATTTGTTTAAATTCCCTTCTAACCACTAACCACCACCTAATGTAAACTGATCTTTTACTGCGGTCGATTTTTCAAAAAAACAGTTTATCGCTATCAAAAATAGCAGAATATTAACATGTGTAAATAGATATAGAAAACTATTTCAAAACTATGTCAACTTGAATTATGTGCTAATATTTGTTAAATAAACACTTTTAATATCTAATACAAAATTAACATACACACTAATGTTCAGCAAACATGCAAAGATTAAAATCGAATCCTAATTCTAAGAATCTTTTGCCTTTGGGCAGATGACGCCCAGATAATATTTCATTAGTTTGGAGTCGTTTGTGCAAAACATAATGAATCAGTCGTTGTTTGCTCTTCACTCGCAAAGATTTCACATTACATCATTTTTGTAGCCAACAATAGGTTGAGTGATTTATCACGGAATTTCAAGCCGTTACTGAGTAATCGTAATTCTCCCGGCAAGCCGGTTTTCCGGCTCGTTTTTCGTTTTAGACGGAATCAGTTTTATGCTAGAACCACGATGGGTATTCAAATAAATTTTACATTGCATGAAAGCTGGGTATTGGTACTATTTACACTGTAAATATCGATGCTCTATTATACGATATTTAGGGAAATTGGCAAATTGAAAGTGCGTATGAAATTATTATATGACGACAAATAATAAATAAAAAAAATTTGATTTCTTGCCTAAATAGCCACATATTCAATCGACAATTTAGCTGGAGAATTTGAATCTCTTTCTATGGACACTTTCACGACGATTGTATGATGAGCCATTCAAATTTTATAGCCAAATATGTTTGATATTCTGTAGCTTTGACTGCGTCGTATGTCAACCTGACGTTTAATCGACGTAATCGTAACAGATCGTACCGATAATTGAAAACACGTCACGCCGACATGCTATCATTCAATTTGTCCGTGCAAGATCATTAATTAACCCGATGTTACCAATTCCATGCGTATAGCTTTAAATTTGACCGTCAGCTCAAGCGCCATAAACTTGTGGCTGTACCAAAAGGGCTTAAACCAAATCAGGGTTTATTAGTACATAACAGAACAATGAAAATCATGAAACCATAATTGATGTCCTATCACGTAGTGCCACTTAACAATAATTCACAATGCGGTAGGAGTTGCAGTCTGTTTGCATGAAAAGCTGCCTTCTAGATTAGGCATAGCTTCCGAAAATGAAGATTGCCTATTAATAGTGCCCTAGTTGCCCCAGATTTGATGGATTTAGACCAGGGGTCACCAAACTTTTTTGACCGCGAGCCGGGTATGACTCAAACTGTGTTGAAACAGGCCGGACAAATATTTTTGTCAATGCAATACAATAAATTCACAAAAATTGGGAAATCCATTGAATTTATTCAACAATATATATTCTACATTTCTGAAGACTTGAATATTAAATTCTACAATATACAAGATTTCTATATATAGACGACAATCCTGAATTTAGCTGTTATCAAAACGTTGCAGTCATGAATTAGGAATGTTACAAAATCCGCTTTTTCGCGCCAAAATATGTACGCATCACGTCTGCTAAGTACCTTCACAGCCGTGTCGGAATACGGCTCATACAAACGACTATGGACTGCCTGCTGTAGCATGGGATTCCATAAAATTTCGAAATAATTTAGATAAAATAAACAACTATTATCTGGTATTCGATTTTTATTCATTAGAGCATAAATTTCCCAACATTCGGAGCTTTTAAAATTACGCTCAAGTTATACGTGGTGCAAATTGATGATATTGTGTATGCACACCAATAAAAATCATGTGGACGTGTGTATTTCTTTCCTGACTTGATACTTACCAATTTTTATGAAGTTTGTACAATCAGAACATCGTTAATTATTACCCACAATGAACCACTGTTAAACTAACATGCACAACTCCAGCGTTAATTTGCGACGATCTTTCGGCGGTGTCGAGACTGTTGCCAGAATAAAATCCTGAAATAGTCTCAATATTCCATAGATGTGACGCAGATCGAAAGATTAGTGATTGATATTTATCACAAATTACAGTTCTTATCAAAAATGTTATACAATCCTTATGGAAAAAATTGCCTGTCGTGCGTACTAAAATTCCGATATCTCCGTTATTTCTTGACCGTTTTTGATAAACTGGGTATTGTTTTCTTATTTTCACTCAGATCTATCCACTGGCGCAGTTTTTATTCAAATCGGATGAACTCTATTTTTTTTTGTAACTTACCTACATGAATATCCGCATTTGGGCAGTACAAAAATTAGTGTGACTTCTGAAATTGGAGCAGTACGCGAGGGATTACGGTACTGTAAGCGCAAAATGCACATTCGACGTTCATTTTAGCACAAAGACGTAAACAGTTTTGTCGAATGCACGCGAGTGCATCTTTCGCAGAAAACGTTTCGCACCGGTAGATAATTTTAGTCTTTTTGTCACAGCTATTTCTAGACTAATTTTTCATTACTAATATTGAAACTACAATTCCTAAAGAGGCAAATGATGATTGACTTTTTTGATTCATACTTAAATTTCCCAAACACAACCAGAAACTAACGAATAGCATTCAAAATCGCAAAAACGAAGTATTGTTTACAACCACGACTGAAAATCTGTCAGGGTGACGAAAGTGTCTGAGCTGATGTAGGCTGTTTTCCAACGGTAATTTCTGGTTTTGTTGGGCGATTGCAATTGCAATATTCATTTTACGCATCCGGTGTCTCAAAGTTGACAAAATGAAAAGGGTTAAAGTTTGATCGAAACTCGTCAGTTGATGTCCCTCGGAGAATTTGATCGCAAGCTTTTCCGTAATTGTTATCTTACGCTACGCTATCAAACTCTATTCCGAAATGTAATATTTTATCTCACTGCGCAAAAAAATTTGCTTTCGTTTGAGATGCCCGTAAACCCATAATTGGTAAAAATTTGTAAACGTTCAAAAATACCAATATTTCGAATTATTCTATTGTCCTGCCAATATGGCGCCGTAGATCCCCCGGAGGTGAGAGCAACTTCGCTCAGAGACGCCAGGGTTCAAAGAGTTTCAAGATGTGTGTGTTGCAGTGTTTAAATATCAACTAATTTCTTGAATCGTTCTTTTTTTCCAAACGAAAATAAATTTTAAATACTTGGATGTGAGTAACATTATGCTTTATTAATGCATTATATTCTTTCTCCAACATATACACTGACGTTAGACATCTATCTTATTAAAGAATACTACACTTGTGTAGTGAAAAATCTCTCCCGAAAAAACAATATTTATAATCTGTTCAGTCCTTCCCGTCTGGGAAACGCCGTCAGACCAACCGATTAAAATTTTCAGTATCCAAATACGTTCATGATTTATCAGACTCCTATCGGGACCGATATTTTAGGATGAATACCAGTGTCATCAAGATAAAATATTATGTATAAGCGTTTGACCTTTGAAATTATTACACTGATTAACATATTGGCTAAGTGTGTGTTACACAGGGCATAAAATATATTTGAAACATCTTACATTCATTGGTTGGGCTTTCTGCTACTGTATAAAAACTTATGACCAGCCAGAATGGTGACTTCGACAAACCTGTTTCTTAAGTTTTGCCTGTGAAATAAATATAATGATGAGTAATCTCGATTTGAATCTTTTAGAGATGAAATTAGAGATGTCTGTGTACGGCGTACAAGAATGTTGTTGCAATGCATTACGTGTTTAAATATTTGAGCATTTGTCTTTTATTTATAAATAGTTCCTTGCGTTCCTATATATATATATATTTTTTTTTTGAATGTGTGCAAGAAAACAAATAGAGTTATTAATATGATTTTTATATACTCTAGTACTCATTTTAATTTAGTGGATAAACAAGTGCCCTCTAGTTTCAAAAACACAATAATTTCGCTTGTACACTCATTCCTAAGTACAGGTTTGTTCGCTTTTATCATTGATGTACCTCCTTTGTGCTGAAATAACGAGTGAAAATAAACTTGATAATTGTCATTTTAGCATATATCTGTACATCGCACGAACTTGATTTTGTTGCCATCGATGCAATATATTATCTGAGGAAGTTTTACTTCGGTCATACAAAACGTTACATAAATACATCTATATTAGTGTCCAATAAAACTCTTGCATCATTTAAAATATACGTTTTCCCCTATGCTGCATTAACCTTACATTGTATGAATATGAGTCAATCAGCGGAAAAGCCCAGTTATGATAAGAAATAAGTCCTTTAAATTCAATCCATCAATCAATTTCTCGGTACAATTTGATGTATACAATTTTTGTCATAGAATAGTGTTTTGAGGAAATTTTATTCAAAATAATAAATTCAAATTCTCGGCTTAATTGGATTGAAATCACATGGAACTTCGAAGTTTGAAGCACAATATTTTTTATAACAACAACGCATTTCTGTTTCGTTTATTTTAAAGAGAGTGAGTGTATTATATTTAATTTTACCGGTACACCGAGGTAGAAAGGGGTATAGCAGCCGGGTAGAAGGAAGGCAACAGTGAAAATGAGAGTCGTTCTATGAGCATAAAAAAATAAATCGAATACCAGCTTTATCGCAAAAATTCCATGCTGGTGTTTTTTTATAGCATCTCTGATTTCTGTTATAATGTAATAGCCCGGGGCAAGTGTACATCCTTATTTGGGATACAGCACAAGGGTCAGTTGGCAGAATTATTCTATGTATATAAGCATAAAGTTGCGTCAAGATGATGGAATGACAAATGGAAAGTACCAGTTATGAAACAAGATCTTAGAGTTACATAGAAATGGGGTTTTGCGCACGCAAGCAACATGTTTTTAGATTTTCATATTTTATACCTGAAGCAGAATGCGGTTGCCAATAGTCCATAGCGTGTTCAAACATTTATTGCGCTTTTTATTGTACAAAATCCGATAGGAACACATATGAGTTCTTGTGATTGGCCGCAGTTTTCCATATCAAAATCATTTTAATTGCATGTATTAGGGAGTCCTCGGGTTACGACGGTCGCGACTTACGCTGTTTCGAGGTTACGAACGCACTTTACGAACATATACAAATATAAAAAGATAATACTGTACTGTAATATCTGAGCCTATAAACTAGATCATTGTGATCAAGAAAATCAGTGCTCTGGGCTCATTGGTTTTCGTTATTTACAGTCACATGGTTCCATACAGTACAGTACTCTACACAGTTCCAGTCATACAGTACTGTACACAGTTTCGGTAATACTGTAGGGGAAGGTGGGGTACGTTGGGACATGGGGCACAGTGGAAAATTAGCTATCACACTGATACTATATCCGCAATCCTGTCCGCGGCTCGATGTTCCAATCCGCCCTTCGGTGAGTTACAACGTCCCCGCGAACGGACAACGGACGGGTAGAGCGGCGCAAGCTATGGGGTGAAATTGGTTTTGGGAGGTTGAAAAAAAAATTTCACCGTTCCAGTTTTTTCTTTTTTTTAGTTTAGACTTTCCAACGAGACAAACCATCGTCTGATATTCTTTAGCGTCAGTCCACTGTAAAATATTCCTAACGTTAGCGATTGGCTGTGACTTCCGAATTTTGCCGTGGGATGGTCTGAAAGTATTTGTTTCCTATGGGGAACAATGGACCGGGGTTCAGTGGGACATGCTCTACAGGGCACAATTCGACAGTGTTTGATACAATAAGTGCTTAGAGACTTAGAGATGCGTTATATTTTGTGTAATATAATGGTTTCTTTCGACCCATGGCCCAATATGGAATATATTCGAGAATCAATAATATTTCCAGATTTAGATTCGAGGAAAGAAATAATCAAATTTTTTTGCAAAATGTTTTGTCAAAATATCTGAACTATTTCAGTTGAACATTGATTTTAAAAATATTAAATCTTCAAATTCGAACGATTATGCTGATTAACTGCTTATTTTTAAGGGCATACTTCGTTGAATTTTGACAGACTGACCCATTGTGCCCCAGGGTCTGTCCGATTGTGCCCCACAAGTGGGGTACAGTGGGACACTTGACAGACGTTTTTCAAAGCATTTTGGTAGTAAGATGTGTGGCGCAAGGGAATTTCTTCGTTGCTGAATAAAAACTACATTTACCCCTCTATGCATTAGTCCCGCAAACTTAAGTGAATATGCAGAATTAACGGCTCAAAATATGCAAAAGAAAAAAAGTGTCCCAACCTTCCCCACTTTCCCCTACGTCATTTTGGTTGTTTAAGCCGTTTTTTTTGTAACCTGTTCATACTTTACAATACAGTTCGATGTGTATAGAGCAACCCATGCACTGTACCACTGTACAGTATAATGTTCCGACTTACACTGAAATTCGGGTTACACCGAGTCTCAGGAACGGAACTGCGTCTTAAGTCGAGGACTCCCTGTATTATATATATTGTAACGCTAGTCTGAATTGGTTACCGGTGTAGCTAACGTGTTCAGCATATTTTTTCTACGAAGCAACAATGTCATTTCAGAGACTTCTAGCACGTGGTAATCTCTTATTAGATTCGGCTTCGTGACCCGAGCATGACGTAATCAGTCTTTCGTACCTAAGTATGTTAATCTCCATCGACAGGTAATATTATCAAACACATCAACAGGAGCAAAGGTCACTATTTAAAACGCTGAGTATAACATAAATTTCTTTGGTCGAGATATGCTAACGAGTGGCCTTTACGCAAAACTAATTTTACATGCCTTATTCATTCACAGCACCAGGTAAAATGTAGATGTGATTATACCACGTTATACCTAAAAAGCTGAACCGTTCCGCCAATTAACTCTAAACAATCCAGGTTGGAAATGATGGTCAGCAGACAGCTATTTTTTCGCTTTCAGCGTATGCCCATTTTGGCGCACAGAGGCTATGCATGACCATTGTGATAAATACTGTTGGAAAATAGCGTTTTGTGGGTAAAATATATAAAAAATTTTATTTTTCGAGCCTCGAACTCGAAAGGATTAACGCATGAAAATCTCAGAACGAAGCGCAATGGATTGGATTGCACGTACAACCTAAATATTAGAATAACATATCAGGATGGAATTAGTTGCGCTACAGAGTGTTGTGAAAATTGTGGAAGATGATCTAAGGAAGAAGTTCTATTTCTTCCCCTGTGATCCCTCCTGAAATCGATAACCATTCTCGCACTATCATTCTGAAAATTACTGCTTTCGTACGAGAATTTTTAATTTTTTCGTGCTCACACTGAAATACACAACAATAAACATATCGAATTCGCATTACATTAGAAAATAATTAGTCAATACAATATTATAAAAATATTTAAAGTGGGTCAGTTGAAGGCGAAAGTTCAATGACTGTTTTGCTAATATCAGTAATCAGTATTTATTTTATCACCAGAAAGAAAATAAACTTTATGCGAACAGTAGAATGAAGAGACTTGAATATGGCATTTCAGTGCGAAAGGTTGTGCATCGTTAATATGGTATTGGGGATGAACTATTGAATTTATCTGAGTCATAGCAGCTTCCCAACGTCAGTAGTTGAGGTTAACATTTTACAGTTTTTAAAGTATGAAGGACGATTCAAAATGTGGCAATTTCTTCAGTCGTAAGGTTGGTATTTCGGACTGGAGTATATGTCCATTTTCGAATGGCTTGGAGTTGTAGTCGAATGATAAGCCCTTCCTTCCACACAGCCCATATTTTAGCTTAAGTTTGGTTTGCGTTTTTTTTTTGGTGATTGTATGAATCAGTTGGTTGATATTTTATCGCATTTGATTACGGACTTTGATATTCCTTGTATTGTATATATGACGATGTGTAACAAACATACATATGGTGTGATGCGAATAGGAAATTATTGATTCAGAATCGCAGTACACGCTTAATCGCTGCTAACAATTGTTTCAAAAAAACAACAACACTTAAACTAATCCAGTTCAAGCATGCCGAGTTATCATATACTCGGATTACATATAATGCACAGAATATCGGAAAAAATTGCAGATTATGAGCAGGAAATAGTGTCGTCATTTCAAACACATTAAAGCTATGCTGTTGTTTAATTGATACAAGATGTAACAGGAAATGAAGAGACTCATACAGTCATTTTATCGTCGTCAACTGAGACTAGTTTTATTATACGGACGAGAATTGCTTATTTTTGTCGCCAACGCGGCAGTATCTTGTTGATTTAGAATTCATTATTGATGATTAAATACATTTTTATAATTATTTTACAGCAGTATTTTCTACAGACAGATTAAGATATTCTTTACGATTGCAAAGTTCAGTTAAATAATCAGGTATTCATCAGCACAGCAGTTGACACCCAACTAAACTTAGAACCAACTATCCAACCGAAAATAGATATGATTTCAAAATCGAAGCATAAGATGATAATGAAAGAGGATGAAGCAATAATTGTGGTGAACAACCGACTATTCCTACAATTACCAATCTCCGTGCTACCAAACAGTATTTCACAAAATAAACTCACATTGCGCTAATACCGCAAACGGGAATAGCGCAATGTGGTATTTAATTAAAAAATTCCACTTATACTCCTTTGCATAGCATAGCCACTGCACAGCTTCAGAAGTCACTGGAGTGATCAGATGTTGCATTTTATATAAAGCTGTGGACGCACATGACAATAATTAAAAGATTTTACGTATTTTATCCACTTATGTCAAAAGATCAACGTAATTCAGAGAGATAGAACTCGTAAGTCGGGAGTTCTTTGTTCTCGAGCTCGTAATAATTTAGCAGGTTTAGGTTTTTGCGCAAATATTATAAGTCAAATCACCAGTCGCTAAAGTTATTTATTTCAGTCACACGTAAGTCTGCGTCATATTAACCAGGACTGCCATTTAAGAATTATTGATTGGTATAATTCGGTTGATTTAGTGGTCGATTTGACTTTAATACTTCGTGTTGTTTGAATAAAATTTCTGTTGGCAACGTTCAATTTAAAGCGTTCTCCAATACCAAGCCCGGATTCGAAAGTATCGCACGACTTAAAATTTTATTCAGTTTCCGTAGTTAAATCTACTTAGAAAAGGTTCTTATGATATCAGTATTTTTTGACTTGCCATTTTCAACAGTTCTAAATAAATATGTCGTGGTTGGGTAGCGAAAATATTATATACATTGCTTCTACAATTTGGTGGATTGCTTTCTTTCAATGGATATATCATGTAGGATCAAAAAAGTTTCTGATGTGGACTATTCCAAATGAATATGGGAAATTATCAACACAGAAACAAAACATTTCAAGATCCGGGTAAACTTATGAAACCTACATGTAGATGGTAGATATAAGTTTCAAATAAAAATATTTATTGCACTATCAGACTGTGTACCTGTACATTTTAGATTCAATCCAATATGGTAGGCCTACTGTAATGTGGGTTTGTGTAACGAATATACAGCATCGGTTATTGTTTGAACTAGATTTTTGATGAATGAATGTAAAGTTATTAGCAAGCAAATAAGCAGTATTCAAATAAATGATTATAGTTTTTTCGAAATATATATATAGTTTCCATCGTTGTTATATCTACTTCACAGTATTAGAATATGATTCCATTCATAAACATTTCTTTTCCTATATGTATAATTTATAACGCGCTCTTCTCGACTAAGAGTTTTGCTCTTCCCTGGAAGCTTTTTTTTCGATTTACAAAATTGATTTTTGTTGTTGTTTCTCACTTCCATACAAAATCTATGCGCTTCCGTTTACATCTATTTACATCTAAGTTTGACTTTCTCCAGCCTTCTTTAGGCTGAGCGTTTCTTTGACAATGAAACATGAATTTCGATTGTGCTCTTTAATTTCATATATAAATGCTAATTTCTTTATCTTTAATTACAACTTTTCAGGGTCAGCTCAGCAGTCAATGGAATAATTATGTTTGTTTGTTCTTTATATCTACTACTCAACCACAATTTACATGACGATTTATGCTGGTATGTAGTTGTTGTAAAAAATATTCCTGACAATAAAGCAATGCACAAATTCACGGACACAAAATCCTTGTTGACAATTTATTTGAATTCGGTCATTTTCTGGAGTACATAACGGCCCCTGAGAGCGCAGACAAAAATATTATATGTAATCTCGTGAACGCTCTTTGCAAGGTCACTCTAGTTTAGTGGACAGCACTGCTCCGTAATTTATATATTTGATTGTACGCTGCATCTGAATAGGCCAACATCCATTTTTCATAGTTTACACTTTATATTATTAATATTCATGTGTTTGACAACTTTTTTTCTCATTCTTACAGGAAAGATGACTTCTATGTTCGGCTGCTGGCTTGTGTTGAAATGGGTTGCTATTTAGCAGGTAACAGATATAAAATTTAATAAAAGTTCTGGGTTATCAAACACGGACATCATATTATAAATCATGTTTCCATAGAATCCTTTATACATTGTTAATTGAGTTTGAGTGCATCAATCAGGTTTGTATTTGCACTAAAGCCAGGATTGGGCGCAAGCCTTTTGCGGATAAACAAAGAGAAGCGAGAAAGTAACCAACAGAGAAAACTCATTTTGCTTTCCTTATTTTTTCAGATACTTTCGTGCTTTTGACGGGTGAGACTGTGGAAGATACTGCATTTTATATATTCCATCATTTATGTATTGTATTTGGAAGCTATATTGTTATAGTAAGAAACTTGTTTAACTTTAGTTACATTATTTTTGTTTTATTCTGATTTTAAATGGACAGTTAGATGGATTTATGGTCTTAATCGGTATTTTAATGCCTACTCGGTAAACGTATATTGGCTGTCATTTAAATATTACATCACACGAATCCAAAGTCAAACGAAACAGGTGCGTCCATATATAACTTATAGTACAACTGATATTTTTTATAAACAAAATAATTATTTTCAGGTAAATAAAGTTTTCCCGTTTTTTATTTGCCTACGAGGACTGAATGAAATTTCGGTTCCATTTCAGCACTTGAGGTTTGTAGAAATTATTTCATTTTGTTTTAATACGAGACTTATAGATACATTTATTACTATATATAGTGATTTAGATATTAAACTAGTTTAATTGATGACTAGTTTTCTCTCAATAGACTATCAGTAAATTTTTATATTGTATATGTATTTCAAATTATAAATCGCGAAGTGGAAAATTTTACCACAATTTATTTTCATATAAACCCCCGCGTTTTTTCAACTGCATTTGTTAAAATAATTAGCCTTCCACAGCTCGTTATGATATTTTAGATACTTTTGACAATTCTGTTAGAATCATTTTTTTTTTCAATACTTTCGAATGTGAAAAGTTATTAAATATCTTTCGCTCACAAATGAAAAATTCCTTACTTTGATTCAGACGAAATAACGTCTTATTTTTTCTCTGTTGCAGCTAACACAATTTAAAGTTAAGTAGCATATCCACAAAACGACTCGCGAACACTATAGTTTTATCTGTAGCATATCCACAGAAGGACTCGCGAACACTAGAGTTTTATCTACTTTTTATATCCAGTTATTTCAGTCGTTCGAAAAAATGTGTAAATATTCATTCAGGCAAACGTTTTATGACATAGGATGGAAAAATAATACAATATATCTTGTCAATGGACTGGCTTTCCTCTTCACTTTTTTCTTTGGAAGAATTTGCGTCATTCCTATTACGATGTATTTTATATCCCAGATAGTTGGAACCGCAGAACTTGCCAGGTATAACAAATATGCATATATATATATAGTTCATATATAATAGCATATATTAGCATTGGTCTTAATCAGATTTCCCGAATAATCTTCTGAATAATCGTTTGAAGTCAATAAACATGTTTGTTTATATGATTTTATATATATTATTATGTAGTAATAGGTCATCAATGACATCAATTTTTGGTACTCCCGTAGTATGGTACCAGGTTAGGGTTAGGGCATAATTTTATTCCGATTTTCTTCATTTTAGTTCTATTACGAGTTCGGGGACTGTCTGTGTTAGCCAAGTGAATATACCCCCCGTCCATAGGTTTTAGTCCCTTTACACAACTTGATGTAAAATAGGCAAACAGTTATTAGTTACCTCTATATATACTGGTACCACACTATTGGAGCGCCAAGTTTTTTGCTTTTCTATTATGCATGCAAAGCTCATTGACCCCTTAAAAATCATACCTGCGGACTTTAAGGGCTACCGACCGCCGGTAAGGAAGCGTTGGTGTAGGACAAGCGCAAAAACAATTTCAAATGATAATATTTACGTTTACATTGGTGTAATTTATTTTTTTATAGAAAAATATTAGCGTTTACGTCAGAAAACAAGTCTAAACATAGTGATTTTAGCTTTGTCGAAGAGAAAGGGGAGTGTGGGATGTTGCCATTTTCTCGTTTTCACTGCTTGGCTTTCCACTTTTTTCTATAACCTAGCTCTAGATAAAAAATATTTCCTTCCCAGTGATTTGTAAAAATGTTTATCCGATATTTTGCAGCGTCAGTCTATTCTGCAAGGTTGTTTTCCTCGGTGGAGTTGTCATCATCGACGCCCTCAATATTTACTGGTTCTCACTGATCTCGAATGGAGCTTACAAGTTATTATTTAAAAAGAAACATGTGTGATAATGCAAATTATCTAGCATCGCAAATTGTGTTTTTTTTTCCAGTATATATGGGTATCTGAACTTTTGCAGTTTCAATAATAGGACGGTCGAGTCGAATCAGTGAAGTTGATGCTGCTGTGGTTTCACTTCTAGTGTTCATATTTAAACACATGATAATGAAATTTTATTTTTCTGATGATCAGTAAACAAGTTATTGATGAACTTGTAGGCTTGCTTCGGCCCAAAATATGGTATTTAGAATGAAAGGAAGATACTTCATAATAAACACAAATTTAATTTCATTTCAGTGGCGATGTCCGTTTATTCTGTTTGTTGTAATTATATTGAAACATATCATTATAAAGCAAATGGTCTTTTATTTAAAACGTTAGCATACATCACAAGATACACTCTTATATTTTCACTCGGCTCGGCGATAAGGTACGAGAAGACTTGTGTGCTGGACTCCAAGCCGTCGTAATTGGCTCGCGCAACCACTCGTCGGCTACAGCTTCCCCCATCACCAAGCTCGTGCGTATGAAACACAATACTGTTTATCTAATATAATATAGAAAATCACATTCCAATTTCATTCTTTCGTGCACAAACCAGCGTCACGGCGTCAAGCCTTGATATATATAGCATGCGGTTCCATTACATTTGAACCCACGTACATTTGAACCCATGACAATTGCACCTGTATTCTATTGCACCTATGGAATTTTTTTTGTTTCACGGATAGTTAAACCCATACTAACCCTAACCCATGGGTTTTAGTACCCGCATATAGATTGAACCCGTGGATATACGCATGGGTTCAAATGTACATGGGTTCAAATGTACGGTCACCATAGCATGCTGACCGCATTTCTCCTTACAACAAAAATACGGTAAAAAAAACTCGTGGCTAGGGTTGCCACTTCTGGATACATTTTTTTGAAATCGAATCTCCAATCAAAAATTTTCGAATCGAATCTTTCCGAATCTGATTCCATTGAGCTTTTTTTTTTGAATGCGTACGTTTGCTCAAAGTCACAAAAAAGCTCAAATCTAGAAGAGGAAGTGTGACGGCATCCGCACAGTACGCTTGGTCTGGTATAAAACCTGGCACGTGGTTAATAATGTCTTGGTTATATGTTAAGTTCTACACCCAAGCTATTATAGAATAAGGGTTCAACTGAATACGCTTACACTTCTTTATTACACCAGCATAACACACAACATAAGATGCTTACAGCAACAGAACATACTAGCGAGTGACGCAACTGCGACACGTTAACACTAGACAGATAGCACCATCAAATATTAGGGACGTTACTCGACAAGGCATTATTAGCCATCATCAGCACACGTGTGATGTAAAACAGTGCACAGTTGCCATTCCTCAAGTATTATCTACTCCCATCTGTCCGTTATGACATTTGCCAGAAATAATCCGAAATGTTTTATTCCCGCTTGTATCGCGCTAACAAAATTAATTTTTTTTATATAACAGCTGAAAAAAGGCTTATATGTAGGGTGACCATATTTTTGTGTCTTCAAATCGGGACGCCTCGAAAGGCAACTGGCAACTTAGCTGTGATTTTATAACTTCACATTTTTCGATTTTACTACATAGGCCTACATTCCTATATTTAAAGCTGTCTCGGCTGTCTTAATTAACCATATTGTTATCGAAGTTTCATGCGCATATTCTCTGTCCAAATATCGGATTCAGTTCGAAAAATAGGAAGGAATTGACGTTAACGATACCGGTACGAATAATTCGAATTTAGACTAATTAGTATTGGTTTTACATGCGATACGTCTGCCATCAATGGGAATCAGCAGGAAACGAACGCATTCACCTTCAGTAATTGGGCTAGCGCTGCGCTACACAGAAACAACAGTAACGAGAACATGTTTGTGTTTTATGCTGGAAAAGCGGGACTTTTGGCTGACTTATCGGGACGGCGGGACAAAACGCTGAAAAGCGGGACTGTCCCGCCTAAAGCGGGACGTATGTTAAGCCTACTTATATGTACTATTACATCAAGTCCCTCTGATTTCGTTTACCGCCACTCGAGTGGAAGCCTGACAAACGCAAACAAAATAAATATATATTTTAGGGTAAGAAACATGATTGTCAATTAACATTGCCGGCCGATGAACTCAGTAATAGTTCTCCTCAGATGTATGCGAAATATTTCACTCAGAACAAAGTTTAAATTAAATTTCAATTAAAATTATATATTATCTAGACGTCGGTAGCTAATTCTTTATCCAATCATGTCAGGGCGTACAATAACTTAGTCGCAACGCAAGTGTTCTGTTGAAAATTTTCATCAAAATTGTCCTGAATTTTCAGGTATACGATTTATTTAAATTCGCGCAAAATAGAAACTTAGGTCATTCAGTGGAAAACTGAACTCGCAGTTTGGGGGAAATTACGCCACACATCATCTCGAGAGATGCTCAATATTTTTTTTCGGCACGTAATTTGGTGTTATTTTGAGTGGCGATTAACAAAAGTTCAATGTTTTTTTTTCTCGTAAATCGATTCGGAAAAGATGCGATTCGAATCGATCCGAAAATCCAAAATTGGCATCCCTACTCGTGGCCATCAATTTCTGTCTAGTTAGCGTCTTAGTCAACATGCTAGGATTTGCTACGGTAGTTTGCATATAAACTTATGTGAATGTAAGAAACTAACGCCAGAAGTTAAATGATTGATTAGCTTGTCTAAACGCTATCATGGGTGCAATCTATTAACACATAACAACCGTGATATGCCAACCCAACCCACCTCTATTCTTGAAAAGCAAAAATGTAACAAACGTCAAATTAACACGATATTTATTATAACTGCATATTTTCACAATGATAAAATTCGTTGTATATTGGAACAATTGTATCAAACAAAAAAACGAAATTACAATATATATTTATAGAAGTTTTATATCATCATAATCAAAGTTTTACAGTCAGTAAAAGCTATATTATATTTCAGGGCAAGATCATCGTCAAAATATATCTCCGTATTTGTATAGATCAGGAGTGGGCAATTATTTTTCGAGTAAGCCAGCTACAAAAAATAGACTTGGTTACTGGACGTCCAAACTCAATATGAAAACTATGAATAAAAGAAGTTTATTTACAACAGCTATGCTAACGTTTATATAATAATAAGAAGAAGCACACTAACAATCGGGGTCATTATGACGTTTTTCCATCGAAATTTATATCCATAAAAACTATGGTCGTAATTTCAGCAGACACAAGTCGGACGGATCCAGCATACGATTTGCCCACCCCTGGTATATATGGCTAAATGATTATATAGCTCATGTCGTGACATATAAAATTATCAACGCTTGTGATACACTGCACATTCCACTAATTCACTCATTTTGAAAAAATGAAAATAATTTTGAAGAGTAGCTGAGGTATGACTGCAAATTACTGCACAATATACTACATATACATGCTACAACTTAGCAGGAATATAAATACTGATTTTGGATGAGCGAGAATATTCCCTATTAAGTATAGCACAGTGCAAGGGGTGGTGGGCTTGGATAAAACGAAGGTCTAATTTTACTGACAAAAGTTGACAGTTAAATAATAGTCTCCATTAAAACAACTGTTCCAGGATAAGAAATTCTCTTTATCAGTGGAGCAAAATGCTTCATTTCAAGCCTATGTCCAAAACAAATGGAATAATCTCATACATTTCAAATTGGGTATATTCAATTTAGCTATCTATGATTTTAGAAAAATATTTCAATTTGTCTCATTTCAATCGTTTAACATTCGTTGGTAAGTTCTTACACTGTAAGAATATAATATCAATCACAGAATATTTATCTTATATATCGGTATTTTGCAATACAGAGTTCAAATTTTATCAATTTACTAAGATTCAGATGTTGAACATTACACACATTGCCAATATATTTGACAATCCATATTCATATATATTTTTCATGTATTCAGAATAGCACATTATTCGATTTGACCTTCCTGTACTTATAATTTCAAATTTTTACTCAGTCCTGATAATTCTGCAATATCAAATTAGATTTCTGAGATTTCTCTGTTGAGCATGACTCGTTTTATTAATATATTAAATATTCAAATATACTAATTTATATGTATTCAGAACAGTAAATTATTCGATCTCAACCTTTCATAATTTCAAATTTTTACTTTGTTAAGACAGATAACGAGGAAAAGAAAAAAAAAATCATGCTTCTAAACAGCAAAATAAATTCAATCGACTAAGTAGGGGTTGATGATGGGTCATGCCGACTAGGCATGCCCCATCATCAGCCCATGCTTGGTAAATATACAGACTTTGAATGAGAATTCAAAAATTTCGACCTTAAATTAACACTTCAAATATAAGCAACAAAAAAGTGAATAAATTACCCTGAAATTATATAAATATTATAAAATAATAAAAACATTATTTTTATCACTTAATTTATATAATGGAACAAATCAGTGTTAACATTATTACTATTCTTCAGTGAATATAGGCTTTGATTTGAGTACGGAATCCTCTCCCAAAATAGAACACAATTCGTCCAATCTGCTTTGCATCTTCGGTATACCAGCAAGCGATGTTTCCAATTGCTATAAAGAAAACACAATTTGAGAATATTCCAAGAGTTTCTCATGTTTTTGCCGCTACTGGAGTAAAAGTTGCATTTTAACTGGAGTTAAAAGATCAGAGCCGCAATAGAAATTTTTTTTCAGACTTTTAATGATGGTAACCGAACTCAACAGGTCCAAAGGAAGGAAGAGCATTCTTGACTGTTAAAGCAGGCTCTCATATGCCGGAGTATTACGATCAAAATTTGGTTTCAACAAAATTGGGAGCTAGCGTCGAAATTCAATCCTTCAATTTCTTGAAGTTACGAGTCGTGGACCAAAGTTGTAAGTTTTTTAGACTCAAAAGTTTTCAAAATACCATAATATAGGCATATCTAGATAGATTCCAATGCTTGATAAGAGAACTTGAGGTCACTCTGTGATTGCTATAATGTTCAAAAAATAATGAAATTAAAATCTTCAACTGAGGGTTTGAGTTAATTAAAAAAAAATTGTGATGTAAAAAATAGATGATAGAAAGATCTTCAATCTGAAAAAATGATAGGATAACAAAAGTATTGCCATTTGCCAACCTGCTTTTCTTCATTCAGAGACAACCTTGTGTCAGTATCCAGTTCGCTAAAATTCCATCCTCCTTCACCATCAAATTGAAGTATATGAGTGTGATATTTCCTAAGTGAATAAAGCATAGATAAGAGAAGTACAATATGCAAAAAATATTGCTAATGTGGAATAATGTATTACACAAAGGGAAAAAATGCGGTTACTGTATTTTGAACAGAACCAAAATCTTCCAATTCCTACATAATGTATGCCAAGCAGTTTAGTTTACACTAGTGGGGGTAGAGAGCATGAGTTTGAACATGATATCTTAGGCGTGGATCTCAACATAATTAGGCAAAATATGCTGAAATCAATATCTTTTTAGACACCAGATTTTGCGTAAACAAAGATCTTTATGATCTTGTATAGGAATAGCACTTTGATTTTACGTAACAAAACCATCACCCAATTTTTGTTTAAATAAAGTCGGTCTGGCTGACTTTCTTTGAACATATAGAAACTAAATACTCACCAGAGGGATGGTCTGTGAGAGATAGATAGCAACACAATTCCGGCATCTTTGGCAGCTTGAAATATTTTTCCTTCGACATCAATACTAACAGCAGATGTGCATTCATCGAGCAATGCATAGACAGGTCTATAAAAAGAGAATTAAAAACTGACAGGACACTACATGATTTACAAGAAAACTAAACTTTGACAAGACAACTTTAACATGCTTCAAACAACTGCCCAAGTACAACTACCAATTCAGGCTAAGTAAATATGGTAACACAGGAAACATTTATTTTGAGAACTCAAGAATACGCACTAATATAAAATGAATTTTTAAAAATTAGCAAAATTCCATAACCAAGTTTAAAACGCGAGAAAATTCCATTCTCCGATCCACTGTCGCCAGCATACAAAGAATCAAGCAAATTAAGACGATTAATTTAAACTTGTCCCAGGACCATACTATCTAATGTGCAGATGTACAAAACTTTTCAAACTGGTTTACTCTTTAAAATACTAGGGCAGTTGATACTTTCTTTGACTCTGATACAAGGATAACAATTTGAAAAAAAGATCAAGAATAGAAAAACTATCTAATTCAAAATACAGATGCATGGATTTGGATAGCAGAGGCAGTCTGTAGCAATTACATGGGTCGTATTAACATGGCAAGCAATCCCAAAATTCACTCAGACAAAATAGAATAGAGAACTCAAGAAACTGTGATTAAGTATTCAGTAATATGTTCGTGAAGGTGTTATCCATGCTCAAATTCACTAGTCTAGACAAGCATAACCTTATATTGATATTAAAACAGTCAGAGGCAAACATACTTATGATAGAAGAGTCTTGCCATTCCCATTCTTTGCTTTTCACCTCCAGATAAAACATCTTTCCAATCAGCTTCTGACTCCCAACCTAGAATGGATAAAGGCTTATTTGTTGATGCATCGGGTATAAATTATCAAAATTTCCATTTACGGTAGTTATAATGTTTCTCCACACAATGCTTTATAGAAGCGAATTCCATATATGTACAGAGATACTGGGGGTTTAATAACATAAAAGTTTTCTTTGAAGTTTCATTTCTGGTTTGAAATATTATAATTTTTTATATTCCAGGAAGTTCAGAGCCTAAGATTTATGCAATCATAGCAATCAGCGTTCTAACATTGTTTTTTGGTTTCAAATCTGGACCACTGCAGCGAATGGAAACGTGCACCACAGCTAACGACAGCATTCAACATTTTAAAAGTTGTGTATTAGATTACTGTAAAGTGTGTCATGTTAACGCAGATTACGTAGTGACATACACAAGTAAATATGATGTTTACCTAAATTGTTATATTAACATAATCTTATGTTACGTTCTTGTATTGTTATCGAGAAAGAGTTTAGTATGGTTTTGTAAAATGAGAGAAGCTGTTTTAGTGAGATTGATTGATACAAAAGTAAACTGGTTCTTACAATTTTGAAGTCCACATAATAAGTTAATCGTACCTCCTTCTCTTTGTACAATATAATACAAATTGACAGTCTCTAATATATGTCTCAAATCATTATCGGTGACTCCCTTTTCCTTCATATCTTCCAATGTATCTGGATAAATTACTTGACTACGAAGTGTACCAATGGACATGTATGGCCTGAGATAAAGAACCAATATTAACAAGAGAGCAATGCTCAAATATATGGTCATGAAAGCCAAAAAGAAATCAAGTCTTTCACAATACAGATTTTGATTGGGCGTCGGAATTGGGTGTTATCTGTATCATACATAGCAATTTTTTGGAACTTGAAACGCTTTTTAGCCCCTCAAGACTCTAGAAAACCCACGTTTTCAGAACCCCTCCCTCTCGAAAATTCCTAGCTTTGGCACTGGTGCGAGACACCAAAGTACCAGGACTGTGGAGTGGAGTTTGACTTGTTTTATATATGATGGATTTGCTGCGTTGTATTTTCAAGCTTCCATAAGCCTGTTATTATGCTATTCAGAGTCAAATTTTTCAACATTCTCTATAAATGAATTAATTTAATTGGGCGTTCAATTAAATAAACCTTGGATATGCAGAAGTATTTGTGGAAAAAATTGATTTTCTCGAAGTTATGATCTGAAGTCGGAATAACAATTTTCTTCAATCTGAAGCTGTAGTTGCCTCTGGACCAAAGACATTTTCAAACAACTCCGAGTCTACAGACAGGTGTAAAATTTCCCTGACCTCACAACTTCACAGAGTTGCATAAAATGATCGATTAATAACATGCAAGTTTATTACTAGTTAGCACAGCTGTTTCCAAAGTTCGCCCCAAAACTTAAATATAACTAATATATGACTAAATACTTTAAATATTGTATTTAAGTTGTATTATGTTATGTTTGTTCGCTGATAATTTGGTGCCACATGAACAAAAACTGAGAATCGCTGGGTTAGCCGATTACTGGAATGATTATTATTATGAAGATTTGAAAAATACCTTTGTGGAATATAGAACATGCTTGAAGGAGGTGGTTTTGACAATTTTCCATTGTAGACAGGCCACAATCCACTCAATATCCTGAATAACGAACTCTTTCCACATCCATTTGGTCCAGTAATGAGAAGATGAACTCCAGAAGTAACCTAAAGCAAATTACTTATGATCAGGGGAAACTTGGTCTGTATTATGATCATTCAGGAAGTCATTATGTTGAAACCAATGTGAGAAAATTGTATTTTATGGTCGTTCATAGGCCACTGTTCCAATTATTTGGTAGGACTATGAGATTACTTAAACAAACATGTCAAATGTCCACTTTTGGTGCCAAATATATAATTAAAAACAGCTATTTCAAAAAACCACAAGATCCTAAAAATAGTTTTTTCAATATCTTTAATTTTGGATTTGATTCATACTGAATCCTTAAACATTCAATAATCCGCCTTTAAATAATCCCACACACAAACAAAAGTACCTTTTAGTCATTACATATTGTGCAATGTCAGTGGCTGCTCATAAGAAGGAGAAAAGTTATAAAATATTCACCCAGCTTCAATCCTTACCTGTAGATTAAGCCTCTCAACAACGATATCACCATTCGGTGTAATGATAGGAACATCTTCCAATGATATATCTCGCTCTGTTTCAATGACATCACCTGTAATAGTGTATTGAAAAATAAATTACAGAAAAATATAGACAGTAAAAATGTTTCTGAGCAAATACATATTCAGTGAATCATAATGTTTACGTAGTGTCAAAACCAAGTAGTTCGCCATTCTATCAATATCGCTATTGAATAATATTGTAAGAGTATGGAATATTGTAATTTGTAAATTACATTGTATATACACACTTGAACACAATTAAATCATATTAAATATAAGAAATGACCTTGAATATTCATAGATTGAGCAACATTTTCAACTTTTTCTCCATCCTTTCCAGAACCTTCTACGACAGTTTTTACATAGTTTCCTTCACTGACATCTTTGAAAACCTCAAACATTTCCCAAACACGAGATGTATATCCAGCCAATTCCGTGATCTAGAGAAATCAAAGTAAGATATTTCATATGACATTATTTAATTTATCTTTCACTAGTATTTCATATTCATATTTTGAGGCAAAATTTTAAACTATGGCTTAAGGATATAGTTACTGGTATATACCTATGCTAACCCCAATTAGGATATGAAAATCGTAAATAGTTCAAATACCAGATTAAAAGATCCGGATTAAGAGAAAGAGTAGATGAGACTGACTGCCCAAAGAGGAGTACACAAGATAGATTTTAGTGGATCTGTAAACTTTGTATTCAAAATATGAAAACAAATCAGCAAAACGAAACTACTTGGCATAGTAATTTGGCAATTTCCTGTAGAAAACTCTATAAACCGAGCTGTAACAAGAGTACTGAGAGAAGAGTGGGGGTAACAGAAGAATGAGAGAAGTTTTTGACAGAACATATGTTATATGATCCATCAAATTCTGTTCTCAGTTTGAATGAAAAGCATTGTTACTAGTTAGGACAACTCAGACTTGTACATATAAGAATAAATAAATAAATAGTATTGGGTGGGTTGAAGTTCCCTCAACATTAGGCAAATCAATGGCAATGTACACAAATTGTTCACAAACAAATTGCAAAAAAAACCAGAAAAATTCCGGTCTTTCAAACAATAGTGGTGCATAACATAATTGTAACTACTTAATAGAGCCCTGGTCTAGCTAGTAATTTATGAATAATGTTTATAATGGATGCCAGTTGTACTAATACAGTAATAAATCTAAGTTTGATTAAAGTTTCTTCTACATTGCGACAAACTATCAATAGGCCCCATAGGGGTGATAAAGTTAGGAACCACTAGTCTCACCTCAGCACTGTGTACCCAATATTTACACGATATTCCTGTTTGTCTAACTAAATGAATCTATTTAATTTTTGGTCATAGATTGCGTAAAATCCTTTCTACAATTTGTGAACACGGATAGCCAATGCCCATTGTCACTTAACAGATTTCTTCAAGAATGATTAGGAAACTCACTTCTTTATATGAACTCATTATCCTTTCAATTGCGTCTGCTGCATTCAGTAACAAGTTACGAGTCGCCATAAATGATTCCGTCCTTAACCCCATAGCTTGATCTTCAGTAACAGCTTCCCATTCAGCAATTTCTTCTTCAGTAGCTGGGATACAAAAAGAGAAAAATCAATACAAGATCTCCATTTGCAGTTCAGTATTGAAATCTGATTTAAATCAAGACATGTTTACAACATAAGACAGGAATGAATATGAACAAAACACAATAAAATGTTTTTCTAGGAAATTACAGTTGTTCAAAATAATCAAATTGTTGCTTTGTGCATCGTGTTAAGCATTAAAGAATACTCTTGACATCGCACCTCTGATAACCTTACGCAGGTTTGCAATCTAGGTGCGAATGAAAAAAGAAGTGCGGGAGGATTGCTGGATTGTGGTTCACATAATCTGAAACAAATAACATAATACAAAAACGATCCACATGTACACTTTCACACCACAAAACCAAAAATCCACATCAAAAAAATCTCACCCTTATCAGAATATCCCTTAGCAGTCAAAATAGGGATAGCGGTCATTAACATTCCTGAAGCCCCCCAGACGTATTTCATAAAAAATTGTTCCACCATGATGTACCATAATCTATGAAGATAAATTTTATGAGTCTGTTTCTCCAATGATTGATAGCATCGCTGTAATAAGTTGAGTTCTGCCTAAAAATGAAACAATATGTGAGTAATGATAACAAGACTGAGAAAAAGAAATTGATGAAAAGAACCATGTAGGGTAATTAGAGGTGTGATGGCAAGCGTATTCCTAACGCTGGGCACGGTGCAGCACACTGCCCAGACGATTCGTGGGCACATAAGGGCATCCAAAATAGAAAAAAAGGAATAATATATCATAAAAGATTGAGCGTTGTCTCTATGTTTAAAAATTTTCATGTTGAAACCTGAGTAGTTACACCTTGTAGAGGGCCTTGGTTAGAGTGGAAGACATAAACATATAATAAAAAATACTGATTAGTATGGAAATATAGCATTATTTAATGAAGCATTGAGTTCACAAATGATTTTCGATTTATATGTTATGGTATTTATTAGCAATTTATCAATACATTCATGTGACTAAGCAATTAACTATGTAAATGTCATATATTGATTACGATCTTTTGATGATATATCAAAGTGTTTATTATATTATCAGATACGCACCTTTTCTCCACCATAAAATGCAATTTCCTCTGCATTTTGTATTATTCTTGAATGGATGTACCGTAAATATCCCTTTCTCGATGCTTTTTCAGCGATCAAAGTTCCAAACTTTGGAGACACAGCTCTTAAAACTCGAGCAGTAACAAATATTGTAATTGTTGAAATTATTCCCGGTAACCTGTAATAATGGTATAGTAAAATTTAAATTTCTATTTTGCTATTTAACATGTTCCCTAAAAAAATTATCTCTTACCCTGTTGTGGAATCAACTTACATATTTCAAGTAACCGAGTAAATGGTTGATCATTGATTCTAACCATTTCGACAGTAAATCCTAATTATACGTATTTGCCATAATATATATGAGTATACTTCTACCTGCTGTTGGCTCCTTTCTCAGCAGCTCTTGTAGCAAGAGTGTGTGAAATCAAAACAACATCAAGAATCGGTTTCGTCAGATGAGAATATAAATGAGCAACAGAGGATGTGAAGTCGTTGATATCTTCAGTCAGACTGTGATCAGCATTTGCTATTCTGCTATCCATGTTGCTTATCCTAATGAAAAAAAATCAATAAAAAAGTCAGCCAGTATATGTGTAAAATTAAAATTTGCCTGTACAGGTATGTTTTTCAATATTATTTACATCCAGGTAAATATGTCAATTAGTATGTAATTATACTGAGAAGGTGACACCACTACTATTATTCGAAAGTGCAGTTGATGTTTCCCAGACCCTTGACTCCAAAAAATTCTCCTTATACTTTATTATTGCAAAATTTTCGATGCCTATTTTGACAGTGTGTTAGAGAGTTGCAGGTTTACATATTCAAAACCATCATTATTTCATAAAAATATTAGACCATGTGCCACCTACAAATACTGATAGCTATTTTTATCCCAGTTTACTACAGCTTTTCTGAAACTATTTTTTGAATATTGCGAATACACTTAAGCTTTTAAAATACATGAATGACAATTCAGTTATTTGATTTACAACTAATTTTTGGAAGCACACCATCATAAACATAAAAGATCATAATGATGCTGGCAAGAAACGAAATGTAAGGAAAGACAGCAATTCATACCAGCTGTAATATAGTGAAATTACCTGTAATAAGTCTGGTTTTTAAAATACATTTTGTATGCCTTTTTCACGAGTGTTGTGCTGAAAGCAAGAGCTTGTTTACTCTCACAATATCGAATAGCACTGTTGGTGAATGTAGCGGGAATAGCAACTAGAATCCATTTCCCAAGCTCAATAAGGAATTGACGAAGATCCTTTTGCACTAAAATAGAAAATCATAAAATTATATAAATTAAACCAGATCGCATATTTGAAACAATTATTTTGAGAAATTCACGATGAAGTCAAATTACCAACCAATGTGGCTGACTTTGGGTATTGGACTTTAAAATTTAAAACTTTTTGCTTTGCTAACAGTGGTACAATGAATGGCAAAGAAGACCCGAAGGCTGTTTGACCAATTAAATATTACGCAATATGGTATCTGCTAATAACACATTTCCCGTAATTTAGTATAGTATGTCAGTGTACATAAGGTAGTTACTCAGTAACTAAACAATACATGCTGAAACATGACTAAAGAGATTTTCATAAAATTGTTGACTGCAGACTTCGTATTATGTACATAACTGTACTTTACACTTATTAAATGAGACCTTGAAACTCCGAAATCAAAGGTCGTTATTTATTTCAAAAAACTTGTAAAATTAGGTGGTAACATCGTCTCCGATAAGGTGAATGTTATTCATATCACACATATGACTTTAATAACAGTAATTTATCCAAGCAATTAGAAACTTGAAAGTGAAAAAATTATTCCAGAGCACAAGACAACATAGATTTGAGTGAAATTTTGAATCCTATGGACTAAAGGGGCAAATTGAAAAAAAAATAGCTTTCTCCCCGCCTCAACCATATTCAAGTACATTAGAAATCGGTTGGTCTATTATTTGCGGAAAAATGCAATATTTTTTGCAAGAATAATAACATGTAGTAAAACGATCCAAAGCCTATGTACTTTTTGAGTGAAGAAAAAGTACTCACCGACACTTCGTACCATTCTTCCATCTAAGTCGGCAACAAATATAGATAAAAATGTTCTGACGACTAAAGCTGTTGAATGGAGTGCAAGCCATAAAAATTCTTTACTCCAAATATTTGGAACTAAAATTCGAAGCAATTTACCAAGACGAAGCAAGAATTCTTTATCAACAGCAAGAATTTTCTTTTTCTGAAAAACAAGTAGGAGAAAAAAATTGCATTTCGAGATATATTAAATATGGTGTATATCCGCGCATATAAGCTGATCTTGCATATATAAGCTGACCCTCTAAAAACGGCCCTAAAACAGTGAATTTATAAAAATTCACTTATAATATGTCAAATCTACAAATTGTTTGAGTTGTAGCTGTTGGAATTAAGTTAGCATAATGTCATTCCCTTCAAGTGCAATCAATCAGAGTTATGCACATATAGGCCAGCCTATAGTGCTGTCAGAGTTATGCGCGTATGAGCCAATTTTCAGCGCGATCAGAACAAGCTGATGACCCCTTAGTTTGACAACTATTTTTGAATTTTAAACTATGTTTATATGCGAGAATATATGATTTATTTCACCATAATATAGCACAACAACAACAAAAGCACACTAGTTTTCGCTTATTTCAATGGTAACAATGAAAAATATATTACAAATATGTGCTGGGGAAATGTAGCAAAGTATACCAATCTTCTCAATACGAGTCACAGATTGCAATAGATAATTCTGTTGAATGATGAATCTCATTTCGTTTTTACCTTTTGGGATTGTGTTTGTGATGCTCGTAATTGTGCCATTGATTCATAGTTGCTCTTTATTGCACCTTTCTTTCCTTTATTTAAATACCTACGAAATAAAATCATTTGAATTACAACCTGATTAGTGTTGGTCTCAACCTTTATAATAGTATTGGAATTTTGCTATTTCCACTCAAGCTGGAGACTTCTATGGTGATAAAAGAAGTCCAACTTTCCACAGGCATTTGAAAAGAATCAAGTTTACTCAGAATTTTAATAGTCTTAATTGAAACCTTGCATACACAAAAAGCTTTTCTTATCAAAATTGAATTTTCTCTGGAGGTAAAAGCTGGAGTGGTATCTAACATAACAAAGATGAACCTCTGAAGTCTCAATAAACAATTTACTTTGTCATTCAGCTCTTTTAATCCAAAAATCGCTTAAAAATTCTTCTGATTTTCAAGTAATGAACTAAAAACTCCGATTACTTTTGTCAAATTTTACCTAAATACTGCACTCGGCAAATCACACCTTTCCATCTGAAGTCCGTGACAGTATATTATAAGTTATACCTCCAGCATACCGGACATCATCGAAATCATCACAAGTTTCAATAATTCATCACAAGTTTCAATCATACCACAAATAAAAAAGCACAATTTATAATAATATTACCACCGGTTGATAACTTTCACTTCTTTTCAAATTATGCCAATCTATTTCCAATATCAGTAACATTCAGCCTCTTTTATACAATGAAACAGGTTTTGGCAAACATTACATAATAAAATAATCAAAAGATATACACACCAATGTAATAAACGAAATGCTGCCACTGTCCCACCAACTGCAGCAATACGTCTCCATGTTTTAGTGCTAAGTCTCGCCTTCTCTACAAGTGTTGTAACTCTCTCAAGATTTTGAAGATTCATTTCGAACAAATTCAATTTCGGATTCCAGAATCAGTCCGAGAAAATCCTAAATTTATTTATTGCCAACCAGCAAGTTTAAAAATTAACCCAACATTCTGCAATAACCAAGTGCTATATCTATCTCTAAGAAAAAAAAAGGGTTATTAATTGTGGTTCTGCAGTTTGGTCGAAGTAAAATACAGGAATCCTTTCACAGTTTTACATTTCTATTTCAACGGCATTGGGTCACAAAATGAAATAACTGGATAATGAAGTTCTTAATACATCCCACCTACAAACCTCTGTATCATTTAAACAAAAATATTTACATTATTATTATATACTTTAATTTAATTGTGATGAAGACTTAACTACAGAAAAATAGAACAGTAGATTCCAAATATGCAATTACAGATGACATTTTCTATGTTTTTTTGGAAGTAACAACTGATCAAAATAGTATTATACTGTTATATTTCATGAATTCATTTATTTGTGTGATTTCACTTCGAAGTATAAGTTTTTCCGTGCTTATTCAGTTCTTACATGAACCACATTCCACCTTTACATTTTAAAGTGGAATTCTACTTTTAGACAAGGTATGTATTTTCATATACATTCATATTATAGGCTATGGCACAGAGTTTCATTCCATTTATTGCATTTGAATATATTTCCGTATTCTGATACTTGTTTATAAGTTTTGTATATTTTGTTGCTATCAATGTATTAAAATGATGAAAAAGTGATAATTTGGATTCTTCAAATATCAGCAATATCAAATAATTGCGTAATTGGACATTTTCATGCCACAATAACCTTTTGGTTATTCTGTTATTTATTGCCTACTCAAAACAATATCTAGAATAAATCAATCACTAGTCTACCTATATGCCATAAGACTATGCTATCACTGTAGATTTGCGAAACTCAAATCTCAAAATCTAGTAGGCCTAGTCCAGTAGGATAAGATACTGGCACAGGATTTACATATTAATCCTGGCTGCCTGGGGGAAAGGGCAGCTGATAAAACGGCTTAATCAAACCTGTGAACCCACGCAGGATAATTAGAGGTGTGTGGCAAGCTTTTCCCAGCGCTTATTGTAAAATACTGAAATAGATTCTAGATTGTCAAATAGTATAACTCTTTGTATTATTAAAAATGCTAAAATTGTCATATAACTGTATAATAAAGAATTTCATTCGAAAAGCAAAAGTATAGCAAGTTCTGACTGAAACAATTGATGAAAAAAAAATATGGCTAGTATTCATTTAGTACTCAGTGTTGCTATATTTTACTATTGAAATATTGAATATAAATCATTAAATTGGAGGAATTTTTGCTTTATTGCAATGTAGAAATGCGCAATTTCATTCAAGGTCAAATAAAACTGAAACCCCAATGAATTATGAAAAAAAATCAAGGTGCCTGAATTTGCAAGTGCCTAGTTTTAGCCTTTTAGGAAGACCCCACTTTTTACAGTTTTATCAATTTATGGCCTTCACACTGTTACGTTTTTTTTTAAATTTTTATCCGGAGAGAGTGATAAGACGGCTTAATCAGAGGGCAAGCCACGCCTGCACGGTACCGTACCTTGCCGCACAAGTCAGTACGGTAAGTTTAAAAATAATCCAAGTTAAATTTGATTGCAGGATATCTGATTAATTAAATACTTCAATAGACTATAACCAATATCGCTACACCCGCACCGTATCCGACTCATATTTCACCATTCACATCTTACTTAGTAAACGACATTTACACAACCCAGCGCTTTAAACAAACTACACTTACCGACCTACCGACAACAACGACAACATTGAACATATGGAGAATATTTTGCTGACCCTTGACCTATAAACCATTATTTTTATTGCGTATCTTAAAGGTGATTTGGCGATTCGGCATTTACGAACTATTTCACCAGTTAATTCAAGTTTATTTTTCCAACTGACAATATTTTTCGCAATCAACATTCTGATTCAAATATTTAAATACATAGCATAACTATGGTGCAGAGCAATGCATCAGCCTTTTTACTGACTAAGCCGAGAAAATTCGTAAAACAACCACCGTAGTCAACTTTTCAACAGGTAGCTTTTTTATACATCGTTTGCATATTTTTAGTTTTGAATCTTATACATAACGAGAGAGCTATGCTCAAATATATGAATACGCAACGTCACCTAGTGGCGAATATCAATTACGTCTTGGCAGTTGGCAGTTGTATATAATTGCAATTAAATTGAAACTCCTAAGAAGACAGAGTGATCATTGAAATATCTGATTTATATTTAAGTTTCCGAAACTTAAAACTAACGAATAGAGTCCAAAAAGGGAACACGAGGTAATGTTTACGACCACGCTTGAAAATCCGTCTGAGTGAGGAAAGTGTCTGAGCGGATGCGAAAAGGGAGCACTGTTACGTCACTTTTTGTATCTTGCTGATTGGCCAATGTCACGAAGTAAACAAGAAAAGCGATGCTCGGGGTAAGGTTCATGGTCGAGTATAAAAAGAATTTTTCGGGGGTCATAGGTCGGGGAAAGGTCCATAGATTTCAAAGACAGCACGTCATTAAATTAAGGTGCTTGCACAAACAAACAATCAGAGTAAATCATCCCCTAGTACATAGGTTCTCAAAGTGCTCCGTACGGAGCCCCAGGGCTCCGCGAGAGTAACCCAGGGGCTCCGCGAGCTATTCGATTACTTTTCAAAATACTGACTTGGCTAATTTAAAACTGTTCCTAGAAGCAATAACAGCTTTGATGAAATTTGACAACAACATAGCCTCGAAATATGGCAAAGGGGCGGAATTAAGAAATGACATTATTTTTATAGGCAGGAGCGCAGCCAGGATTCTTAAGAGGGAAGAGGTTCAAAATTGGAATCGGAAATTTACGCGCAACATTCTTGGCAATTAAAAAAAACGGATAACGAGATTTCTGTTGCCTAAAATATTCAATTCATGACCGATGCGAGCATCTAAATTCTAAAGTGTCTTGTCGTAATAATTTAATTGTGCTCATCGTTACTCACGTTCGATTCGAAATTACTATTAGGATTACTAAAATGATAAAATACTATTCTAAAATAATATAAACTGCGTGATAAACTGCTAACTATAAATAAATTGGAGTCGTATTTTTGTGATCTTGGGATTTGTTAAACTTGATTTGTTCTTTCGCACTCGAGATTATTTTTAAGCAAGATGTCGCCGTTTGAAAAATCACAAGGTCTTGGCAAAATACGAACGATTGAAATTTATTTTAGTGCATGCGGCTCTGTCGGTAGTTTCAGAAAGGAAAAATGGTACACCAGGCGCATAATTAATTGACTGTGTTTCAATTTCGCAGTTACTACGATGAATAACCGAAAACCTAACATAACACCAAATTTATGATTTACGATGTCTATAACAGCGTTTTTATTCTGACGTGAGTCTGCTGAAACAAAAACTTATGGTGTTATCTTCCATTTTAAGTTTTAGTTCTAATATTTTAGAATGCCGCTTTTTAATCAAGAAATTTGAATTGCGGATTTACCTCTTTATTAACTATTATTTTTAGCATTTCGTCGCCGATGATTATAATATGGTAACATGTTTTTCACATTGAACTCATAATTCCCCACGAGATTTATTTATGACTTCTATTGATCCTAATAAAAGTGTTTAGTATTTAAATTGAGTAAAAGTACGTTTAACTTACTCAGGAATATTAATCGGAAAGTAACAATTTTAACATTTATTATGGGGCTCCGTGAATAATAGTCAACCTTTTCAAGGGCTCCGCAACGCCAAAAGTTTGAGAACCCCTGCCCTAGTAAATACGCATGTGCTATTTTAACAGGTTCGAGCAATTATATATAAAATGTGGAACTGAAAAGTTGGTGGCAGATTGTCATACCTACTAGATAACATTGGATTTACGAGAAGACATGTAGGGCATCCGTAATTTTGGGACTGGGAAATAAGAAACTGTGCAAATAATTGGTATTTTCATTTCGAGGCTATACAATTATTCAGTTATTGGACAACGTAGTGGACCTATGGATCGTATTTGTAATTATGTTGATGTTGTTCTTATTTCCTCTGGTGATCATGACTGACAAGAAGAAATTGAAAATTTTATTTCGTCGTTTAAAACTTGAAGCTAGTTTTAAATCGGGTGAAACATATTGAGAGCACTCGCGGGAGCTCCAGGCTAGATGTGTCAACAAGGGCATATCCCCAATTTGTATAGGTAACACCTACAATCAGGTAATAAAACATCTGCGTAAATAGAGGAAGATTTTTGAGCAATCGACCGAGGGAGAAGACGTAGGCATACCCCCTAAAAATAACATATTCCGTTAGACTTGGATCAAATGTCGTCATCGTATGTTTTGTGTTGAATTGAACCTTGGAATGAGATTCCATTGTTTTACTACTACACCATCGAGTGCACATGTGGAATGTCCTGTGACAAGTTATCTTTAACGCCAATCATCGAGAGAAAATCAACACGAATCGAAGTGGTATATTGTTGTGTGAACAAATTAAAGCAGCGAAACAAACAAATAGACCAAAAGAATTGTTAAGGAGCAAAATTAATTTCATTCTCAACGTTTTTTACACGGGTACCAATGAAAATATTTAAATGAAGAATACGCATTTGAACTTGGCACTATTGTTATAAACTAAGGTGGAAATATAAATGGACCACATATGAAAAATTCGCTTTGCATTGCTACATAGTCCACCACCCCGAATATTAACAACATTATTGAATAAAAGCGGTATCGTACTTGACATTGAAATATCTATGTGTGGTAAAAATTTCGACTTTACTGTATTTTCGTATTTTCATTGTTCTTGAAATTTTGGTGTAAGGGTTTTGTTTGTTTTTTCATCAACTTGTGGTCAGTATAGTGAAAACTAGAACATAACTGCTATGTCAAGTGGCCCGCGCAATCATTCGTAAACTAAATGTGGCCCTTGGCAAAAAAGGTTGGACAACCCTGATCTATAGACTTCAAAGAAAACACGTCAATAAATTAATGTGCTTGCACAAACAATCAGAGTAAACGACCTCCCAGTAAATACGCATGTGCTATTTTAACAGGTTCGAGCAATTATATATATATAAAATGAGGAACTGAA